TATAGGAAGGCCGCTAATTCCCAAGGATTTTAAGCTCGCTTCTCACAAGATGCTGAGCAAGGCTACGATAAAGTTCTGTCACTTATGCTTTATTGGACACTGATATTAACCTTATTTCTCGGATAACTGTTTTCAACGTAGGGGAAGTGCTATATTTATTGTGGTGGAAGAAGATAATGGACTACTTTGCGCGGGGAGAAAAAAAAAGGGATGTGATGGCGTGTGAGGCAGTCCTGACCATCACATGTCATACAGAAGCGCAGTCGACTTCTGGTGGCTTATGATTCTTCTGTTGGATGGCATGAGCTGCGTGATGGCCGCATGTCTTATACCGCCTTTAAATGGAAACCATATTTTTGGCCGCTGTGGCTGGTCTAGTCATCGCTTTGACGTGAGCTCCATGCAACGGCCTTGATTTAGACGGTCCGGACACTTGTTCAGAGATGGAAAATACGATTTGATGAGAGGCCGGATCGAAAATCGAATCGAATAAAATGTTGCACATACCTTGGAATAAAGAACGACAACTTCGCCGTTGACAAGAGAACTACATCTTAGTAAGTCTTGTAATTGAAAGCTGTGTAACAGGGTTTTTCGTGACTTCTCACCGAGTCTTTTCGGATCAATTCAAGTGATGTTATTCTTCTTTAGGCGGCGCAACTTGAAGCGAGTTCTCATAGCAGATAATCTGAAATAATCAAAATGACGCAAACGAATTTCAGACTCTGATTGATAAGGCATCTGTGTCTGAAAGGTGCTTTGGCGCGGGTCTGGCATGCGCATCAAGATGTCAACTTTCAGATGTGCCGGGTGGTGGGCACATTACATATGGTTATGGAAGATTATCTCCGTGCTAGGTTTTGAATACAGTATAAGACTATTAAATCAGGTTTTGTTTTCCCATCAATAATATCATGATGACAACACCACATTTATATGGCCCGAGGGAGATCTGTCACAAGACAAATCCATTTCAGGTGTTCAGGTAAGCGTATAGGCATAGCTTTTGGTCAAGTTATTAGACGCAAGGTACAGCTTTATTAACTCAGTTATTATGGTATACTCCTGGTGTGGCTCAGTATATAAACAATTAATTCTTTTGGCAACTTCGGAAGCCAACGATATTCCATCGACTCAGATGAGACAAGTCAGAGGATCAGTCCACGTTGGAGCCGTTGAGTAGAGTAGGTGCTACATAGCTCATATGCCCACATTGGGAGCCACCATACGACGACATGGAACTTCCATGAACTTCGACACAATTGTGACATGTGAAAATAAATGCCATAGACATAAATTGTGATAAAAGGTCTGAAATATGTAGAAAAAAGACCAAAAAGTCTATGTGTGTCCAATTTTGACAAGGACATTAGATGAAGACCTGCCATGCCATGGCTATTTAGATCAGACCGATCCATGTAGGGTGGTGGTATCCATCCAGCTTTCTCACACAAACCGCAATATGAGCTGAGACGCATATTTTGTGAGTGAGAATCAAGTTGACAATACTCATCTAAGCGTATTGGCCTCACTTTCGAGGATTATGTACCGACGCGTGGTCAAGCTCGAGCGGTATGACGGAATTGGACATCCGTGATATTTGGGAATAATGGCTGACACAAACACTGCCAAATACTGTTACCATTGCAATCGGTGACATTTTTTCCTTGTTTTGTAAATCACCATCACGACTTCTTATCCGCGTCAAACGTGACCCCGTTCTTCTCTATTGTTAAACAAGTTGTACTCTATCGGAGCACAGACAAGAAACGCGTCTTGGGAGTTATCTTGTCACTGTTCTTGACCACGGCTTGATACCTTGTGCCACTTTTGCCTTGGACGTGTATACCCAAAACTATCAGCTACGCACCACCCATCATGGCGCTGACGCACATATCCATGCCAACCCTTCCAGTTCCGCCGTCCTGGTTCCCCGGGCATATGATGAAGTTCACACGGATGCTCCCGGCACTTCTAACTAGGACAGATGTCGTTCTTGAGATCAGGGACTCGCGTCTACCGTTGACCAGTATCAATAGAACCCTAGAAGGTATGCTTGATTGCTTCCTGCGTGCCTCTCGGGCTCGGCATCGCAATTGCACAATTCACGCCGAAATCGGCCTCAGTGGGAGCTTTACTGTGCTCAGGTCTTAGGCCAATCGCATTTTCTTCTATGTCTCGTCATATCATGACCTCCGACGAATTTCTTGTTGACGGTCCTTGCGTGTTCACCTCTAGGTGCATTGCAAAAATGGCGGCGAGAGCGAGGCTGGGATCCAAATAATCCCACTCGTCGCATCATGAATACTGCAGCATGCGAGCGTATAGTTGTACTGAACAAGCGAGACCTTGTCCCGGAATGGGGAGTGGAGGTAAGCCTTTTTGGACTTATGACTGCGATGTAGAGCTTGAGTGCTCCTGGCTCAGCCGTTTCGCAATGCCATGTCGAAAAAGTTCCCTGACCAACGAATAATATCTGCTTCTTGGCAACGACCGCGGGATATTCGCAAACTTTCTGAGCTTTTAGTAAGTATGTTGCTCTCGTGCTCATTACTCAGTCAATGAGGACGTGTTCATGTGCTCCTAACCTTGTTACAGACATAGCTCGCAAGCATCCACACGCAATGGAACTTAACGTCTTGGTCATTGGAATGCCTAATGTGGGTAAATCAACTCTATTGAACTCTTTAAGAAATATGGGTATCAAAGGCCGTACGATCCCAATTTATCTCGAATACTACATCCGAACATTTACCTTTTGAAATTAGGTACACCGAAAGCTTTTCAAACTGGTGCCCAGCCTGGCCTAACCAAGGCTCTTTCCACACGGCTGAAAGTTTCGTTGGAACCGCTTGTGTACGCATTCGATACACCCGGTGTTATGTTGCCCTATTTGGGACGTGGTGAGGAAGGTGCCGAGAGAGGGGTTAAACTTGCTCTGATAGGTACGTAACATCCACCACAGCCTCATATTCCTGGTTCAGAGTCTGATGAGGACTTTTCTTACGTTCTGTTCACTCAGCGGGAATTAAAGAAGGTCTATATGACATGGAAGCACTTGCATCTTATTTACTGTATAGACTCAACGTCTTGAATCCCATATGTACGATTCTATTACTTCGCTCCAGTCTAAACATTGCTGATCGATCTCACATGCACATAGCTCCGGCCTATCTTCAACTCCTTTCGAAAGGGGCTGTGCCGACTGTCGACCTACAAGACTTTCTAGAACAGCTTGCCCGGCGTATGGGAATGATCATGCGTGGTGCCGAACTTGACACTGCCCGTGCTGCGGCTTATTTTGTGCGATGGTGGCGAGAAGAGGGTGGCTTGATTGCTGCTTCTTCATCGCCCCTCCAGTTCGTCGAAACCTCGGGCTCGGACATCTGCCATCCACCAATGCAGGGCTGGGGATTCGATTTTCAGTGGCAATTAGGCGCAGAAGACCGATTCGTGACTAAAGAAGAGGAGTCGAGTTTCATTCAAAACAGAATGGAGGCTTGTATCGACGATTACCTCGTTGCCATCGATCGAGAGGATAACGAAGAACTCAATGTCAGTCCGACGCAAATCAAGAAACAACAAGTGAAAGAGGAAAAATTGAGACGGAAACAGAAACAACTCAAGCGGTGATTGTCTCCCCGCCCGTTTATACTGTGATTACCGTGTACATCCTGATCTAAGTGATGAATGTCATGGCTTTCGTTCACTGTCTTCTGGTGGCTGTTTACCCGCTGGTATTGGTCCCTTCTGAACGAGAAAGGTGGACCCTGTTTTGTAACTTATACATACACGGAAACAAGACCTTTAATATCTCTTGAGAGCCTAACGACGAGCGCCACACTTGTGGCTGAGTCCATCTGGTATTCTGGATATCTTCTACTCTCGCCTCCTCAAGTGAGGATTTCATGTTCTCTGGTAGTGATTCATTCCAAATACAGTGCTGGTTCCATTTCAGATCTTGATTGGGCCTATCTCCGTCCAAGGCGACGTGTGGGCCTCAATGTCTTACCCCTTTTCATTCCCGGGACCTCACTGATGTGTTTCAAAATTGAATTGCATGGCTCCAAACCGTATGAGGACTTTCCGCTGTTGGCGGCACGATTCCCTCAGAATCTTTGATATTATGGTTTGACAAATATATACCACTTCTCAGTGCCGCCCGAGGATCATTATGGCCCTCTCACGCACGCAACTTGAACTATCAACAGATAGATCGAATCTCGAGGAAGTTCTCGAAGCTTGGAGTGAGGTCATTATAATCCAACACGCAGGCATCTTGATCATTTGTACATTGTCACTTGACGGATAAACCCGACATGTACCTGGACCCCCAATTTTGATTGTCATCGGAGAAGTTTCCGACGAACTTTGAGAAGGAAGAACATGTCCAATTAGAGTAAAAATGAACTGTCCGAAAATTCCATTTGATTACGTAAGGATCCCACTTTTCCGTCACAAAAAAAAACAGTTCACCTTAAACGTTGGGTTTATCGAGACGGAGGAGGAGGAAGAGTGTATTATACTAGCGTTGTCCCGGATCTCGACGACCAGTTCACTGTAACACAGGATACGGTATTACAATATTAAATATTGTTGTAGACTATCTTTGTCAGAGTCATGCCTTTTGTATGCAGAAGCAATTAACGACATTTCAGCAATGGCAAGCTCAGAGATGCTTAAGCAACTGCTTTGGTTCTGGTGTCGCGGATGACAGACCAACTTGTAAACTTCTTACTCCATTGTGTTTTTTATTGACCTGGAAACGATGGGAAGATGTTGAGCTCGACAGCGGATAAAAAACTGAGCATAATCTGAATTTCGACGATAAGAGAAGGAATCTGAGGGAAGATATAGAATCATAAATTGGCATACCAGGAGAATCTACACGTATGTACATTCTACACATCAGAATCATTGGGGAATTGGTTGGCCAAAGGTCGGTCTCATTGAAAACTAACGTCGCCACAAAAAAAAATGTAAAAATTCTTCTGCTTCTATGACCGAGACAGGGGTCGAACCTGCAATCTCCTGATCACATTATCGTAGTCAGACGCGATGCCATTTCGCCACACGGCCATAGTTTTGTCACGAAAGACAGACACTAGATAGTACGTGCCTGAAATTTGGTCTCGGAGCGTGTGGCAGAAATTCATGCTTGTCTTCGAGCCACTGAATCTGGAGGAAAATAGCACCAATGTAAGTGGCGTAGAGAGCTTCATATCACGGTGGTACCATACCTTGGCAAGATGTATATAGATACTACTGAAATTGGCGGCCTAACATGGATCGGAAGTCTTGTATACCAAATGGAGAGGAACTTATACAAACAGTCACCAGATAGGAAACCTCTGGAGTTGGCCTATGAAGTCAAACGGTGACATATGCTTATGTACCTCTCTCGTTTCAGACGTCTACAGGCACGTAGATTGTAACATACACACCTAGGTCTCACAGTTGGAATCCTGGCGTATTGGCCTCTGACGGGTTCTGGACCATCGCGGTCGCGTCCTCAATATAGGTCACGTGTAAAGCCCGGATCAAGAATTGCGTTTTCTCGCCCTCTGGTTGCGCCATAGAGAGAGAAATGCTAAGGCGCAATTGAGGACATTGACCTGCATTTACTTCAATCAATGTCACATAGACAGCCATACACCTACCAAATCGCATCTGACAGCGATCACGTAACATTGCAAGGTCCGTTCAAAAGTAACAAGGCATGTATAACTGTGTCAGAGACCCTTTCGAATCGGGCACCACCCATAAGGAGGCCAAACTGGCAAGGTAACACTAGGGAAGATGTGGAGGAAACGTCTTCGATACAGACGAGTAAGTACATCATGCATATGCATCATGTTTACCTTTTCGGATCTTATCTGACTGGATTGTCAGGACCATTCGGTCAACTTAACAAGTCCCTGCAAGGTCTAACGACCGCTGTCCCAGATTTCAAATCGGCAGCAGCACCTTCATACTGCGGTTCACACTCTAGCCCAAATACCTCTGACGTGTCTCTATCCCTCGTGAACTCCGGCAGCGTGGCGCGTGACCATCTCGCATCGGAGCGCACATTCCTCGCGTACGTTCGTACGAGTCTCGCGATTGCTTCTGCGGGCGTCGGTGTGTCTTTTGTCCTGATCATCGGCGAGCGCAATGACTTGACGTGCGATCCTTAGCATTAACGCAAATTCTGACCATCACAGAGTTCTATTCAGACGCCATTTCTACCTCTGGACGCAAACGACGCGTAGAGGCTTGGGCACGTCCAATTGGCGCCACAGCCGTTGTCATCGCATTGTTGACGCTTTTCGTTGGTGAGGCTTGGTTTTTGTGTGGCAAGAAGACACTCAAGGGCAAATTACAGGTGTTGCGAGATATTTTGCGATACAAAAGGCCTTGGTTGGCGGACGGTTCCCTACTTCACGTATTGGTATTTGCCTTGTGTCGATTCTCTTCGGTGCACTCATTGTGGCGACCTTTGGGGTGCTGTTGCATCACCGAGTAATTACTTTATGGTAATAATTGGTGTTCTTCTCTTCTTCGCTGTCCACATATATCACCCAACTATATTCACTTTTTCACTTTACAAGATCGATTCCCATCTACATGTACCATTCATACATTCACACTGATTATATGTGTCTACTACAATGAGAGCATATACAGGAGCAGGACATACGATATATAAACATGCCTGGAGTATATACACAGAACTGCCGTAAGGGAACTCCGGAGCGCCACAACGACAGGATCAACGAGAGTAAAAAGCGTATCATAAAGAAAGTATAAAGGAGACATCCGAGAACGTCCCATAGCATATTATACATTTTATCTTACAAAAAGCATCCTCACAATCATGTAGAACTGAAATTCCCAACCAGCTGGTGGTATGTGTCCTAGGCACCCACGCGTGCCGTCGCTGTCTGGTTCTCAATGTCGCTAGGCGGCAGCGGTGTACCTCTAATGTTGAAACGCAGGAACGCCGGCCGCAAGTTCAATATTCCTCCGCTGCTGCTGTTCTCGGACGCCGGCACAGCAGCATTATTAGTTGCCCCGGCCGCAGCAGTTTCCTCTGCAGCAGCAGCCTCCTTGCGTAGCCGCTCTTGCGTCGGCGGTGGCTGGGTCGTTATTCGAAGGAGAGAGGTATACGCTAGGCATTTACTGTCGGTCAACATCCGGTCTTTAAGGGTTGAAAGGGGCAACTCACGTTGTCGACACACGGGGCAGAACCATCCTTTTGCCTTTCTCTTTCTGCGCGCATTAGCCCCGGCCGCAGACGCAGCTGTAGGAGTGGGTGGTGTAGCAGCAGCAGGAGAGGTAGGGGTTGTATCACCTTCGGCCGTTGGTGCAGTGGGGCTGGTTGTGTTAGCGGGAGAATCCGCCGTGGGCTCTGCTTCACCATCCGTAGCCTGTGTGATGTTTCCGCCTGCGCCGAACTCGACCATGTTCAGCGCACATTCCTTACAAGCGACAAGGTGACGACACGGAAGAAGTACAACCTCACGCGGGGACGAAAGACACAATAGGCACTCTGATTGCATTTCATCCTCCGCTACTACGGGCAATGGCACGGCGTTTGGATCAGACGGCGTCGCGGGTGGGGGGTATGTATGGTCCAGAGTATGCGTAGGCGCATGTGGTGCCGTCGAAGGCGAGGTCAGACCATATATCTCATGCAGATGGAAAGTATGTGGTCCGATCTGCATCGGATTAGTCAGTCACAATTATAGAGCACGGAACTCGACTTACCGTTGCCTCCCTTTTGGCGACCTTGACGACCCACGGTCGGGTATCTTCATCTCCGGCCTCATTCTCCGGCCGCGCTCCAAAACGGATAACGTGGAGATACGTCACCTGCTCATTGGGAAATGCTAGCTCTGTGCTCTGAGCATCGAGTGCGGCGAGCCGAATAGTCACACGAACACCTTCCAAAGTTTCGTCTTTTCCCTTGTCATCTGTCGTGTGAGCAGGGTCTGGATCAAGGACCCTTAGAGCAGGTCCAGAAACACTGTGGTTCTGAGTATGCTTGCGGAAGGGGTTATGGGTGAATCGCCGGCGGGGATGGGTGCGAGTTGGTGATGTGCTGGTATGAGCGGTTGTCGAGTGATCACCCGCTGATGATGGTTCTCCAGTAGAGGCGCTGGATGGTGTGTACTCGAACCGGCCCAATTCGAGCAAAGCACCTTGTTCTAGTTTTAGGAACTTGCCGAAACCGCCATCGACAACGGTTTCAAATACAAGGAACTTTGATAGACCAGACGAAGATACTGTCGCAGGCGCTTCGGGATGGTCCTTGGGCAGCAATACATGTACGTATATGCCACACCTGGGTGCGTCACAGTCAAACTCGAATTCGAGTCCGTGATGGTGATGATCTGGAGTGGAGTCCTCAGATGTCAGCGGTGAGAGACGCAGCGTTGGACGTTTAAGATTGACGAGGGCCTGAAGAGTAGTAGTTGGTTGTGATACCTGTTTTCAATCAGCAAAATGATGAGCCAACAATGAACCACACGACAACGGACATCTTTGCTCTTCTCGACCCAGTTGGTGACGACGTCAGGTGTCAATTCGTCCGTCAGTACCCTCTTTTCAGAGACGGCGGTCCACGCAGGTCCACTGTTGACTATACCGATGTTGGGACCAAAGAGAACATCCTGAGTTTTCTTCTCCTTTGTTGGTCGTGTAAGGTCAAGTCTCTGAGCACGCGGGCTGTTCCTCGTCGCATACGATGCGGAATCTGCACGAGTGTACATCAGGGGCATGGAGGGGCGATGAGGGAAAACTTACACCAGGCAGCAAGGCTCATGGTGGACAAAAGTAGACTGTTGGTGAGAAAGCTGACGCGGGATTTCTGCTTGTCTCAGAAATCTCGGCAGAATTTGATGAATTGATCGAGACCGGCTGACTGCAACCACTGTCTTAGTCTAATCGGACTTGGGTAGGGGCATGATGCATGGGCTTGTTCATAACATAGAAAGCAAAAATATAACAGCAAGTTATCTACGCTCATGCAATCAGCGAAACAACTCCACCAGCCTCCTTGATTTTGCGCCTATCAACAGACGTCAGCCTGCCATAGCACTCGTAGAGATCACACTTACTCGGCCTTTTTTGACACGAAACGCGCTTTTACAATGAAGGGAAGTTTGGGAAGTCTACTCCAATATCAGACAATGATTCGCGAGGTAAGAATCAAATGGAACGCACAGTCCATTGCCCAACACCTTTCCGTACCCGTGCTTGAGCGTATCGATAACGGGGACAACTTCAGAGTTCTCCGTGAGACCCGCCTTCTCGGTCGCAGGCACTAGACTCCATAGCTTGTCGACGTTAATGATTGGGCGCCAGTATTGGTTGCGCGTGAGGTGGAAGTAACGCATACCAACTTTACCGAAGTAACCAGGATGGTACTTATCGAAGTTGGTACTGCAGAAGCCATCAGGACATACCGCAGAGCACTCTATCGAATATGAACGCACCGATGGTGGTGCTGACCACCAGCGAGACCACGACCACCAGGGTGCTTGCGGTGCTTTCCTACACGACCGTGACCGTGCGAGACGTGTCCACGATGCTTGCGGGTCTTCGACAAGTGTGTCGGCATTGTTTTCTACGTGCAGAGAGAAGGCAAGTCAGTGTCTCTTCCCAAGAATAACAAGTATGCCGAATCCATCAACGCCATCCGAAGTTCCCTCATGCGATCCAGCCCATATTCCAACAATTCGAACCCAATTTTGCACGGAAGGAGAGTGGGAGATCCAAAGATGCTTCCAGACGACGAGACGACGACAAGGGGGCAAAGCGACATACCTTGAGGAGGGTTTGGCGGGGTGACGGGCTGCAACGGACACAGCACAATTGGTGTCGACCAAATTTGACGCCACTTTCTCAACAAAGGTAAACAAAAAAACTTGCTTTCCCCGTTCTTTGTCTTCTAAGCTTCGTCCTCCTTTTCTCAACTTGTGAGTTCTTTTCCTTGATCTGTTTCCTACATGATGGGCATACGCCATATTTATTGTCGGTGACTTCAGCATACACGCTTGAATAGATGATCGCAATTTTTTCGCTGATTCTTCTTC